AAGGCAGGACTGGGGAAGGAAGGAGAGACAAGAAAGCACGTGCTCCTCCCCTGCCCACAACAGTGCACGTGCTTTCTTGTTTTCCCTTCCATCCCTGTGCTCCGGGAAGGTGGTGGAGGCGAGGTAGTTAAGATGGTGGCATAGGATCTGGAGCAGCTGGATTTCTTAAAGGAGCCACACTGCACTTCTTCCAGCACTGCCTGCCAGGACTGGGGAAGGAAGGAGAGACAAGAAAGCACGTGCTCCTCCCCTGCCCACAACAGTGCACGTGCTTTCTTGTTTTCCCTTCCATCCCTGTGCTCCGGGAAGGTGGTGGAGGCGAGGTAGTTAAGATGGTGGCATAGGATCTGGAGCAGCTGGATTTCTTAAAGGAGCCACACTGCACTTCTTCCAGCACTGCCTGCAGATCTTGCCCCAGAGATCCTTGTCCCTGGAGACCCCCAGGTACTGGCCGAGCTGCTCCTCTCCCACGGCCAGACCCCCATCAGCACCCTGGTTCCTGGCCAGACCCCCACCAGGAACCTGCTGCTGCACCCTGTCCAGACCCCCAACTGCACCCTGCCCCTCCCCTTGGCCAGACCCCCATCAGGACCCTGCTGCTCCTTCCTGGCCAGACCCCCACCAGCATCCTGCTCCTGCTTCCTGGCCAGACACCCACCCCCACCCTGCTCCTCCTGACCAGACACCTCCTGGCTTGGTCCCCTCCCTCTTGGCAAGACTACCCCCAGCTTGCTCCTGTACCCTACTTTCCACCCAGATTGTGCACCCCCATCCCTATCCCACTCACTGGCAGCCCTGTCCCACACACCGGATCCCTCATTCTTGGCCCCACCTCAGAGCGTAGAGGGGCCCACAAAAAGCACTAACCCTGGAACCCCAGAAGAGTTAATATGGCCTTAAACTTCAGTCCTGTCTACCGTTCTCCCCCATGGAGCTGGAGTGCTAGAGGAGTGAGGTATCTCAGTTGGGGCCTCATCATTGAGGCTTGGGAGTTTTTGGAAGGTTTGTTTTTTTGCACCTCACTTGTGTGGTCCCCGACTGATTTTTCTGTGGGTCAGTGGCCCGAAGTACATATAAAATGCAAATTCATGTAGGGTATGAGTTTTTAAAATGTTAGGACAATAGCTTGCCAGTAGTCATTTTTTGTACAATTTTTAAAGATTAAATTAATTCTAAATTGAGTCCATCTTGTTTCCTTTATTTTAAAAGCTATATTTTGTGCTTTTAAAAAATACTGGAGTTAGAAGAATGTACTATATGGGCACTTTCAAAATAAAGAAGTGTTATAACAATATCAATTGTTATCTGAATTCTTTGTATAGTGATGCAGGAAACAGTGACCGTGTAGTAATTCAGGAGTTATTGAAGACAGTAGCACAATCCCAACAGCTTGAGACAAGTACTCAAAGAGATTTTAAAGGTTAGTAAGAGCCTCTGTGAATGTTTTGCCTAGGTCAGAAGATGTATGTGAGATGTAAACACGTCTTTTTTCCAACTTGTATCTCGACCAGTTGCCTTAGATGTTTATCTTTTTATGGCATTGGTTTCTCTCTGTGATTGTCCCAAAAGATGTTGAAGTTGTATAGATGCAGATCTTGATTTGTTTATTGTTACTGTGAGCTATATATCGGCTTTCCCAAAACTTGGTCACCTTTCATTCTTCTTTGTCAGAGACAGGTATCCATTATGGATGGATGTATTATAGGTGATAGCCCATCAGTATCAGTCTGCCTCATGTAGCATTGGTAGCTGAAGGAAACAAAGGAGGACTAAGTATAGTTGAATGGATTAAACTGAGGCTATGAAGATATTACTTACTTCACATATATTTGTAATTTTCAATTTCTTTAAGCAGTCCCACTATGTATGAAGTGTTCAGTGCAGAAGTATTTCATACCTGGAACAACTACAGACAGAGAAAGGGGCTGCTAATCTAGAACCAGTTATTCTCTTCACTGTTTCCATATAGAAATTGCTACAACTGTTTTCCTTGCAGAAACCAAGAAACCTCCAAACCAGAGAGAGATACAAAATGAAAAATGAGACAACCCCAAGAAAAATGAGGGACTAGAGTAGAAATATTGTTGTAGTAGTCCTAGCTTTGATATACCATACCATTTTCTTCACAGTTCTCAGGGCAACATTAAATTTGAGCTATTACCAAATTTTAGCAATCTGCTACAATCCAATAAAATATGCCATGCTCACTAACTGCTTTGAAACTATATAACCTTGGAGAGCAATGTGCATGGAAGGGCCTCCAGTCATCAGCCCAATGGGTTTTCTTCTGTCTTCATCTATCAAAATTAAAGATGAGTTTGTCATCAGAGGAGTGTCCTGATAAATTCTTTGCTTTGAAACTTCCTTACACCAGAGGTTCTCAGGAAATTCAGATGCAATCCTTTCTTATAATTCTTGAGAAAACATTGATAGCTATTGTATTAGCCATAGTACAAGCAGTGACTGTCTTGGCCTTAAACATCCAATTTGATTATTTACATCACAGTAACACCTATAGTCCATGCCTTGAAGAGAGTACATTTTAAATAGGTAAGACTGAAGAACTGTGAGAGAGAAACAGATGTAGAAGGTGAAATGGCTTGATCAGAATGTCTCATCTCTGTGACAATTGAAAATAGAACCCGGGGTCTTCTGGGTCCCAGCACAGTGGTCCATAGGACCATGTTGCACCTTGCTTGCTGTGCGCCTTGCTTCGTTATCTTTCTAAACTGACTTAAAGTTCATTTTTGTAAATAATTTTAAGTTTACATCAAAACTCTTCTAATCAAAATAATTTAAGCTTCTCTTTTCTTCTTTTTTTGTATTCCCCCTGGCAGTGGTGCTGCTGACAGAAGTTGATAAACTTACTAAAGATGCTCAGCATGCATTGCGAAGGACCATGGAGAAATATATGGCCACCTGCAGATTGATCCTATGTTGCAATTCCATTTCAAAAATCATTGCACCTATTCAAAGCAGATGTCTGGCAGTGCGAGTGCCTGCTCCCAGTATTGAAGATGTAGGTTTGGAAGCAAAATGAGCCTCCAGTATAAATGTTCTCAACCAAGTTTTTACTCTGTGTTTATAAAGTATGTTACAGAAAATGCCCTGTCTCTGCCTGTCATCCATGACTTTCCTTTGATCAGTATGCACAGTATCCATTCACTGAGCAGACTGGAGCTGCTTCTTTATACCTGGCTGATCATTGCAAAAAAGAGGTGGCTGTTCTAGAGATGCTTAAGTTTGAAAACTGTCATTGGGCTATGAATGTTTCATTAAAAGAGAAGTCTGTCATATATTCACTATTAATGAGACAAGATGATGAAGTAATATTCTTAGACTCTCATCCACCTTGTCTCTCTAATATCCATAGCCACAGCTACAATGCGTATATTAACTATATTGACATATTACCTTTTTCCTATTTAGATCTGTCATGTATTGTCTGGTGTGTGCAAGAAGGAGGGGCTGACTCTTCCTCAGGATCTGGCTCGTAGACTAGCAGAAAAGTCTGGCAGAAATCTTCGGAAGGCGTTGCTCATGTGTGAGGCTTGTAGAGTCCAGCAGTAAGTCATTAGAGAAACTAATGTAGGTTACTTTTTGTATCCACTCTAAGTTTGTTGCTAAAATATGAGGGATTGCTTGTTGTGCAGGTATCCTTTCACTTCTGATCAGGACATCCCTGAGACGGACTGGGAGGTATATCTGAGAGAGACTGCAAATGCCATTGTCAGTCAGCAGACTCCCCAGAGGTAAGTGGAGCTATTTGGTTATGATCTTTCATACTTATGAGCTTAAGAAGTGCTTTATATTATGTGTTTTGTGACATTTTAATAGCTTTGTACTAGAATGTCTGTGCTTTGCATCCAAAGGAAATGGGTTTATAATCAACAGGAGATGGCTAGATTGGATTTTAGAAACTAGTGAAAGTTAACCTCTGTCACAAAATTACTAAATAAAGAGGACACGCTGTCAGTATGTGATTGACCTAAATTTATATATCTGTTATAAACACAGACCAGTAGCCTGGAGTTCTGTAGCACTAGTTTGAATTTGAACCCAGATCTGGTCTGTTTTGCTCTAAATGATAAAAGTGGTAAACATGCTAAAAGTTTACCTGATGGTAAGTTAGGGTACGTCTAGAGTACATGCCTCTTGTTGCCAGAGGCATGTAGATTAGGCTACCAGACATAGGAAAATGAAGCGTCGATTTAAATAATCGCCGCTTCATTTAAATTTACATGGCTCAGCACGATAGTCTGGACGTGCGGGTGGCGACATCAAAGGTATTTGTCGACCACCCAGGTATGCCTCCTGGGATGAGGTTTACCTGGGTGGTTGACAAATACCTTTGATGTCGACACCCGCGCGTCCAGACTATCGCGCTGAGCCGACAAACAGGCGATTATTTAAATCGCCGCTTCCTATGTCTGGTAGCCTAATCTACATGCCTCTGGCGACAGAGGCATGTAGTCTAGACGTACCCTTAGACTCAGGACTCTCAATTTTGTTGACCACTCTGTTTCATTCGCAAAGCGCTTCGCTAATACATCCAGAAAAGTGAGACCCCCTCCCAAATCCAAGCCACCTTATTTATACAGATAAAAGGATTGAAAAAGGATGTGAACTGACAAGGTTACCTGGGGTCAGTCAAGTATCTCATTTCCTTATTAACTCTTACCAATCTCCTGTTAATGTCTCACTATCACCCTTAAGTGGAACCATTGTCCTCTGCCTTAACATCCTCCTTCCTGCTTACACACAAACAACTTTACCTTAACATCTCTCTTCCTGCTAAAGAAACAAACATTTCTTTAATTCATTCTACTTTTACAATATAATTCAGTCTACTTTCACAATTTCAAATTGAGTTAAACAATAAAGTCCCAATTTCTGGCTATGGTCTTATTTCTTAAAGTGAAATAAAACATTGTTGCTATTGTGATTGTCTCACATTGTCCTTATTCTGTTTTGGATTATTGTGCCAGTGTTTCATTTTGTTCTGACTCTTGCTTGGTCTTAATGCTCCATTCAGTTTGTTCTCTGCTTAGTATGCATCAAATGTCTCTACCACCACCAGTCTGAAAACATCTAGTGCTGCCTGATATTACATAGTGATAGAAATGTAGCCGTGTTAGTCTGGGGTAGTTGAAGCAAAATGCAGGACAATGTAGCACTTTATGATATTACATACATCTTTTGTTTCAAGTCTCCCTTCAGGTCAATAGATAATATCATAATGGAGCCAGAAAACATCTTCATTTGGGCCATTGACACCTGTATAAAGTTCAGGCTTGTTTTAATTAAGTTTAGGTAAAACCCACGTTCTACCACTGCAGTGTTGTAGGACAACAAAGAAATTTCCATTAACTGCATTGTGAGGCTGGAAGGCCTGGTAGCTAAAAGGTTTGTACGTATCCTATACGTATACAGTACTATTGTGGATTTGATACTGATGTGAAATTTTAGATGTATTCGTTGATACATAGTATGCTCTCTTTCCACTCTGACTGAGTGTTTGTGTAAAGTTATCTAGAAGATTTAAACTTGTATGTTGCTATAATGATCCAGTTCTTTTTCTTTCTTCATGCCATTGTGTTAAGTTAAAGAACTGAAACCATATAAATGGTGGAAACTATGATTTGGGTAATCTGGCACTAATCTGTTACATGACAGCTTCTAGTATACAGATCAGCATGTTCTGGAGTTTTGTATTTTCCATATTCAGCTGAGAATGTCATAGCTACAGCCCAAAACTTTATTAACCCCTGTCCCATCTTTCAGTTTATGTAATGTGTATGTTGAGGCTGACCGTATATATTGGAAATACGGCACATTGCTTAATGTTAGAGGAAGGCTTCAGGCTAAGGGAACTTAATTATGCTTGGCATTCCAAATCTGAGGTTGTTTAAAAATAGAGCAACCCTGGTTCTCTTTCTCATTTCCCCACCCCCCACCACCATCCCCCTACTCAAATCTGCGTTAGCCCTAGCTCTCTCCTCCTCTTCCTTCCCCTCTCCCCACCAAGGACTATCCCTAAGTCCCTGGCTCTGTCCTTGGTGGCTGGGGAAGGCCAAGGCCATGGCATGGCAGCCGCATCTCTGCCCCCAGCGGCTGGGGAAGGCTGGGCTAGTAGTGGGTGGGGCTTGGCTCCAGAAGTGGGGCCTTAAGTGGAAGGGGCAGGGCTGGGCTTTACCCTCCCAGCCTGTGGAGGCTGTGACATGATCATGTCACTCTGTCGTCCTGCAGGGGAAAAAAATTATACATAGAGAAAACAGGCTTTGTGGACATGACTGTAGAATCATAGAACATTTCATGATTTCATTCCAACAGGTTACTTGAAGTTCGTGGACGGCTTTATGAACTCTTAACCCACTGTATTCCTCCTGATATAATAATGAAGGTAATCTAACTCGTTAGCACTTACTGTTTTTATATCAACTTAGAGCAAGGAGAATCCAAACTTGAGGAAAAAAAGATTCAGTTTTGTTTTTCCTTTAAAAAAAAAAACAACAAACCAATCCAGCACATGCTTAACATTTAGATTTCAGGATCTTCAAAGGGATTGTTTACATGTTCAAAGATAAGCCTGTGCAGAAGTATTTGCAAGATCAGAGCTGAGAGAAGACAATTTGTTTTCTTCTGTTTTTGGAAAAGCTTTGCATTTGGCAAGGTTCAACTGTTATGTGACATTAACCATAAGGTCCACTTTCTATGCAAGTATCCTTAAACACTCAGGGTATGGCTACACTACCCCCCTAGTTCGAACTAGGGGGGGTAATGTAGTCATACGGAGTTGCAAATGAAGCCCGGGATTTGAATTTCCCGGGCTTCATTTGCATAAAGCCGGCCAGTGCCATTTTTAAATGCTGGCTAGGTCGGACCCCGTGCCGCATGGCTACACGCGGCACGGACTAGCTAGTTCGGATTAGGCTTCCACGAGGCATACAGCTAGTTCAGATAGGAAGCCTAATCCGAACTAGCTAGTCCGTGCCGCGTGTAGCCATGCGGCACGGGGTCCGACCTAGCCAGCATTTAAAAATGGCACTGGCCGGCTTTATGCAAATGAAGCCCGGGAAATTCAAATCCCGGGCTTCATTTGCAACTCCGTATGACTACATTACCCCCCCTAGTTCGAACTAGGGGGGTAGTGTAGCCATACCCTGAGTGTTTAAGGATACTTGCATAGAAAGTGGACCTTATGGTTAATGTCACATAACAGTTGAACCTTGCCAAATGCAAAGCCTTGCACTTTTTCTGTGCAGTATAGTTGTGCTGATTTGGTGCTCACTCACTTTGAGTTATTTCTGCAATGGCTTTATTCCCTTTCTTCTCAAATATAAAACATTTAAATATCAATAATTTTGTTGTTTTTTGTGGTAAAATATTGCACTGGTCTCTCTTGTGTGTTTTAAAGTAAGCTCAACAGAATGACTTATTTACATCCATTTCTGATAAATGTTATTGAGATTGCACTCCCCTTGTCAAATGAAGAATCCTCAAGGCTAAGTTCCCAATGACATCAGTAGGGGTTGTGTGCAGTCAATTTTGTGAAGCCTGTACAGGTTGTACCTCCTTTAACCAGGACTCTTTGGTCTGGCAATGTCTGTGGTCCACCAAGACCATGGATGTTTCTGGACCACAGAGTCCAAATATAAGGAGGTAAGGCCACAGAGCAGGAACAGCGGGGAGGGTGCGACTGAGCCAGGGGCCCCATGTCAGGGAAGGGTGGATGGCGCAGCAGGGAGTTCTGGCCCCTGGAGCCGAGCAGTAGCATGGGCCAGTAGTGGCAGCAGAGCCCCAGAAGCCACAGCAACCGCAGAGCCCCAGCTGCCCCAGCAGCTGCAGAGCCCAGCCATCTCTGTAGCCACAGAGCCCCAGCCCCAGCCCCAGCAGCTGCAAAGTCCCGGCAGCCGTGAAGCCCCTGCAGCCCTGATGGCCACAGAGCCCCGGCAGGTGTGGAGCTCCAGTCTGGGGAGCCACTGCCAGGCAGGCAGCAGCGGGGATCGGCTAGAGTCCTAGCCAGGGGCAGCACAGGCCATGTTGGGAAGGACCTCCCCTCATTCGGCAAACCCCCTTGTTTGGGACCAGTAAGGTTCCAAGAGTGCCAGAGGAGGGAGGTCCAACCTGTAGTGAGGCAGAAATTGTTCACTTGCACCATTGTTACCTGATTTAGCAGGATGTGGAATTCATCCCGAGAGAGAAGTTTTTGAAAGACAATATTCCTCAAGTTCCAAGTTAGTTCTATTGGACAGATGATGTGATAGCTCTTGAAAACTTTTGCTGTGCTGGATCATTGAGTGAGTTGATGATGCTCCTTGCTCAGCTATTTCTAGGGAAATGACAGTGTTGATTAATAGTATAGCCAATTGATTTTGGTTACAATTGTGATATTAAAAATATTCAAGGTCAAATAACCAAGTGCGGATACATTTGTCTGTTATCAAAACAATGTGAAACCAAAAAGAAGGAGTTAATACACCGCCAGCCTTTCTGCGAAATAGGTTTTTGAATTGTGTTAGAGAAGCATAGAATCACGTTCTCACAGCATGTTTAGTTAATCTTATAAGGAGGGCATACTTCCAAAATACACCCCATACTACTTTGGTTATAATGAGGCTGTTCTCAAGCTAAAACCCTCTGTGCATCATTTATAGAGTCTTACCAAATTCATGGTCCATTTTTGTCAATTTCAGTCATAGAATTTAAAAAATCATAAATGTCACAATTTTAGGTATTTAAATCTACAGTTCTAAAGGCGGTGGTAGGGATATCCCATGGTTATTGTATAGGGGTTGCAGTATTGACTCCCTTTCTTCTGCACAGCTGCCTTCAGAGCTGGGCTCCCAGCCAGCAGTCCTGGAGCTACTTGCAACTGGGGGAGGTTCTTAGAGATGGTTCTGACCTGACCCTGGGAGCAGCCCTGTAGGGGAAGGGGAAGCCTTGTCTCTCCCCAGACCAGTTAGGACTAACATCTGGGGAGACCAGTGCATAATAAGAGCTCCCAGCTCTGCCCCTGCCCTAAACTAGCTAGATTTCATGGGTGAGACCAGATTTCATGGTCAGTGATACATTTTTCATGACAGCAAATTTGATAAGGCCCTTATCTAAGATTCCATCCATAAATTTCGACTTGTTTTCCAATGCTACAGCTTGCAGCTTATTAGAAATGAAGGCACTTCCTGAACTTGTACCTACAGTAGATCACTAATGTATCTAATCTAGGGTAAGTTTCCTATTTTCTAATGTCACTGCTGACCTCAGTTCTGTAAAGTGTTGTAGGATACTTGACCTCGGTGAACAGAATTGTGGGAAGAGCACAATGCATCCAGTTAACATAACTTTCCAATACCTATATGTACACAGTGTAATGCCAGTGAACGCAGTGTATATTATGCCTAACAACAGTATCTGCCTTGCTACCCTACTTTTGAAATATTTTGTTCTTTTTAAAAACTGCAATATTTTCCTGTTTTTTTAGGGCCTTTTGTTAGAACTTCTAAATAACTGTGATGGGCAGCTGAAAGGCGAGGTTGCACACATGGCAGCTTTCTATGAACACCGACTGCAACTGGGCAACAAAGCCATTTATCATCTGGAAGCATTTGTGGCAAAGTTTATGGCACTTTATAAAAAGTTTATGGAGGATGGACTAGAAGACATGATGTTCTAAGATATCACTGAACTTAATATAAAATATATATGATGCAACATTCACAGTTCTGCTAATAAGTCTACTTTTGTGTGACTTATGTTGTACAAGCCAAAGGTCAAAGTCAAATAAATTCTTCTTTTCTTCATTGCGTTTGGTAAAAGTAGCCAAATAAGAACTTTATTTATTGTTAACGCTAAGTCTTCGAGGCAGTCTAGTCCTCTCTCCAGTATATATAAACTTTCCAGAAAGATACTATTAAATGTTGGATATCTGGCAAGATCGCATTCTAACCTCAACAGTGTTCAGTCTAGCCAGTGCCTGGCTTTCAGAGAGAAAAGAACAGTTATTTACCTTTTAACTGTTGTTCTTTGAGATGTGTTGCTCGTGTCCATTCCATGTAGGTGTGTGCATGCCTCGTCGGAAATTTTTCCCTTAGCAGTACCCGTTAGGCCAGAAGGGGCAAGAACAATATAATTTGTGCTAATTTCACTGTACTGGTTTAAACTGTCATTTTTACTTTTTAAAATTAAGATTACAGTTCCCATAAACTACTCTAAAGTTGACCCTGTGAGGTTGAATTTAGTGTTACTCCTCATGAAAACAAGAGCACAAAAATAAACTTTAGTGGCCCTTTAAAGTCATCAGAACAGGCTTGGTAGTGTGGACTCGTTGTTTAAAAAAATTGACCTAATGAGAGTATGTTCAACCTAAATTTCCAGTGTGGACCAGGCTTTAGAACCCCTTCAGATGGCTATTTTATTTCAGTTACTTTTGCTGTAAATAAATTTTGGAGGTGGAAATATTTTCGCCAATTTACAGCACAAGCAAATTGTCATAGTGCAAGGTGTTTAATTTCTTGTAGGATGATTGCAGTAGATGCTGAAATGTAATTTTATCACTGTTGTCAATGCTGAATTAAATTAATCCAACAGAGCAGATACTGTGAAAATGAACATTTCAACTGTTTTCTACTCCAGGGACAAATAGAGCATGATGAAAACAGTATGATAATTAATAGTGATGCTAATGCAGGGCTTCTTGAGAAATCAGTTTCACTGTGCATGTTTAGATTTAAAAAAAATCCTTTTAACTTCTGCACAGAATAAAGCAAGTTAAAATTGATGTTATACTACATACACCCTATTCTGTGCTGAAGATAAAGGTTTTATTTTTTTTATTCTAAACATGCACAGTGAAACTGATTTAATCACATATTGGGTCAGTTCAGCATTTTTACCTAGTTCTGTGTCTACTCTAGTCATGGACATTGAAGCTGCTTGAGAGAAAGGTGCAGCAAACAGGCCACAGTTATGAAATAACATGGTCTCAAAGGAAATCTTCAGTATCACAATACAATCCTCCTACCCCAAAATTGCACCACACTAAGCTGAGAAGGGTTTCTTGTCTCTTAGGTCTGGTCTACACTTAAACATCTACACGTTTTGTTAGACTTTAAGGTGCTGCTATACCATTAGTTGTTTTTTAAGTTTTTCCAATTACAGACTACCTCTGCTACCCCTCTGAATCTAAAGGGGAAGATCAACTTAAGATACGCAATTCCAGCTGTGTTAATTATATAGCTGGAGTTGATGTCTCTTAACCTCCTACTGTTTGGAGGTAGCTGTAACAGGAACAAACACTGCTGTTGGCTTCCTTTACTCCCCATGAGAAGCAGAGCTACTAGTGTCAACAGGGCACTTCTCATTTCGAATTAGTGTGTTTTCACTAGACCTGCTAAATCAAACTCCAGAAGATGAACCGCGGCAGCGTTTATATTCAGTGTAGTGTAGACATGGCCATGGTTATTTGCAGCATTTGGTTCTTCATAGACTCTTAACTGCCCCAGCATTTCCCAACAGCTGCCAGAGATAGGATGGTTAAAAAACCAGCAGTTACAGCACTATCTTTCATCCCTCTTTTGCAAGAAAGCTGTACAGTAGTTTACTTTATAAGATGCCAAGTTGGTCACAGCAAGCTATGCATTCCTGGCCTCTGTTCACGACTGGAGCACACCTAAGCCATGGAAAGAGCTGGCTGATTGCAAATACAGTGGTGGACCTGCTAAGCAACACAAGATGATACGAATCTATTATCCTAGATGCCACTATCTCCTCATTGTATACCACATCAAATTCCAGTGGCTAGTCCAAATTTTCAAGGCTTGCAAGAAGCTGGGCCCAGGTTGCATGTGGGCTTCTTTCTCTGGGTATGTCTACACTACCACCCTAGTTCGAACTAGGGTGGTTAATGTAGGCAACTGGAGTTGCAAATGAAGCCCGAGATTTGAATTTCCCGGGCTTCATTTGCATATTGCCGGGCGCCGCCATTTTTAAATGTCCGCTAGTTCAGACTCCGTGCCCGGGGCTACACGCGGAACGAATAGGTAGTTCGGATTAGGCTTCCTATTCTGAACTACTGTTACTCCTCGTGGTATTATCCTTTAACCTATTCCAAACTACAGGTACACCTAATCCAAACTACCTACTCCATGCCGCGTGTAGCCGCGGGCACGGAGTCCGAACTAGCGGGGATTTAAAAATGGCGGCGCCCGGCAAGATGCAAATGAAGCCTGGGAAATTTAAATCCCGGGCTTCATTTGCAACTTCGGTTGCCTACATTAACGCACCGAGTCCGAACTAGCGGACATTTAAAAATGGCGGCGCCCAGCAATATGCAAATGAAGCCTGGGAAATTCAAATCCCGGGCTTCATTTGCAACTCCGGTTGCCTACATTAACCACCCTAGTTCAAACTAGCGTGGTAGTGTAGACATACCCTCTCTGACCAGGGCTGCTCCAACAGGTTATGTATCTCATGAGCAGTGGAATTGTTAACGAGGAGGATGTAGCTGGAAGGGACAACAGCTATGCATATCTCTCTTTCATTGATAAAGGGGGAGAACAAGTTCTAAGCTAACCTGTAGAAGCTTAATACACAGTAAGATGGAGTTATCTGGGATTTAAGTCCCATTAAAACTGTGGCAAGTCCTTTTTGACTGAGCCTCCCCGGTGCTGATTTGTATCTCTGCTGTGGACTGTAACCAAGGCTCCTATCTTTTCCATATCTGTGTGGAATAAACGTGTGTGTTGATGCTGGTGCGGATATGCACCACCAATAGAAACACATGCTGCCGGTTGTAGGAGCTCTGCTAATCAGATGGGAAGCACCTGAATCTCTCCTGGATGGCTGCTCAGGTGCTCAGCTTACAGGGAACACTGGCTGTTAACTTATTTCTGTGCTAGTGCTGGGAGGGGCCAGAGGGCCTGGCACCAGGACAGGATGGTGGAGTGCCTCAGATGGCAGGTTGGTGGGCTCAGTGGTATTTTCAGCACATCAAAAGGATCTCTGACTGAACCAGTCACAGGGTCATTGTGGTCACTGTTGCCCTTGATTGCTATATTTCAATTAGTTTTGTTATGCTGGGCAATGCCCCAAGTATGGTGATGAGGAAGGGAGCTATAATGAAAGTTGAAGGCTGACCCTTGCTAAGTGTATTCCTTTAGCATTATTGCTGTCACGAGAAAAACAGTTTAAAAAAATGTAGGCAGCTATTTTAATGTTGATGGAACCAAAAACCTCTTGGCTATGTCTACATTGCACTCTATTGTGATGAATATCGCCATACCTCATTTGCATACTTAATGAGCTGCCATTTTGCACAAGGGGCTTTTGCACAAGAAGGAGCAGTCTACACTGCTCCTTCTTGCTCAAAAACCCTCTCGTGCAAGAGCCGTTCTGTCGCTTATTTTCAGGCAGAACGGCTCTTGCGCAAGAGGGGGGTTTTGCGCAAGAAGGAGAAATGTAGACAGCTCCTTCTAGCGCAAAAATCCTTTGCGCAAAACGGCAGCTCATTAAGTATGCAAATGAGGTGCAGCAATATTCATCGCCACGCCTCATTTGCATATGTTATTGTGCAAGAGAGTGTAATGTAGATGTAGCCCTTGTGTGGAGCTTGATGTTGAGCCTCTTCTCAGCTTTTGGTAGAGATGACTGCTGCTACTTGTTCTTTAAAGCAGGTCCCTTACACTTTCTTCCAGTCCTAGAATTGAGGTTCTGTCCATTTGCCCTTCACATTTTAATTTCCCTATAGCTGCTTTTTAATCATTATCAAAGGCTGGGTCCAGAACCTCTCCATTTAAAAGAAGCACTTCTCTGTCAGAGGACAAGGGCTGCTGTGTACTGCACAACTTGCACCTGCCCCTGCACCTGAGTTAGCAGAGATCTAGCATTGCCAGGCTCAAACGAAGCCTTAGGGTAGCTTTACAAAGCCATTGGACAGCCATGGCAGGCCCATACCAGCTGATTTGAGGTTGCGTGTGCAGGCTGAGAGGCTAATTAAGTGCAGTATTGATGTTGGTTTGGGCTTGAGCTGTAGCCCAAGCTCAGAGACCCTCCTACTTCGCAGAATCCAAGAGCCAAGGCTCCAGCCTGAGTCCAAACATCTCACAGGACAATTAAGCAGCCCCTTAGCCTGAGTCAGCCAGCCCAGGCTAGCTGTAGTTTTAATTGCAGTGTAGATATATGTACATGTCAATATGTCATCCTACATTGCACAGTATAGCTACAGGGAACGCTGCTCCTACTGTCATGAGCTGGACGTTACTCCTACTGTCATGAGCTTTTTTTTGGGTGCCTCATTGCGTCTGCCGCTTTTGTTTTTTGAAGAGGCAATAATGTGCTATAATGTAGGAAATGAATGGCGAGTGCATGGTTTTGCAATTTCCAAACTCATACGGGGTTCATGCTCAAACTTGTTCTGTACGAAGTTGTACTGTGCACTGATTAATTTGGTGACCTTCATGAACGGCGGCAGTCAAGATGCTGAGCACTACTGCCAGTCTCTCAACATAATTCCATTCAGGGGTACTATCATTTTCAAGCAAAATTATCTCTGCTTAAAAAAATCTCTCCTTGCTAACAAGGTTTAAAGGGAGCCCTAAAAACCTGTCCACTTAAGTTTTTTTTTTTTAAATCACATTACTGGTACTGGGACTATATCTAGTGTCCTCACAAAAGAATTGCTGCTCAAGAGCATCCTGCCACAAAGCTTGGAATTGATAAAAATAGTAAAATAAATGTCTGCTGCCAGGAAATGTAATTTAGTGGGAGCATCATTCTGTCTGCAAAATGGGGCTAGGTAGAAAATAAAAGTTGTACAAACAAT